TTACTGGAGGGGTTGTGGGAGGGGGGATGGGCTAAATGGGTAAGGGGCATTAAGGAATCTACTCCTGAAATCATTGTTGCACTATATACTAACTAGTTTGGACGTAAATTTGAAAAAACAAAAAATAAAAGTAAAAAATAAAATTAAAAATAAAAAACATTAAAAAAAAACTTAAAAAAAAAAAAAAGTAGCCCATTATTCAGGTCTGAGTGTTCCAGGGAAACCTGACCCCACCCCAAGCTTCTGGGGAGGCCCAGTTGGTCTAAGGGAAGTACTGTCCTCTCACAAGCTGCACCAATCAGTACAAGGCATCCCCTGGCCACACGGGCCCAGCCTGGGCCAGTGAGACATGAGGGAGGCCTGCAGGGGCTGATAGAAACCATGCTTTCTCACACTCAGAGGAAAGCCACTGGCAAGACACCTACTCTGGCTAGCAAGTGAGAAACCTGGTTCTGCCACAGCCATTTCGTCACCATGGAGGAATCATATTGAGGATATGAATGAGACACAAGAGTAGGAAAACAAAGCTGGAGCCACTGAATGAAACCAACCCTGCCTGCCATTAAGATAACCACTAATGACCTCATCCTTCAGGTTACTTGGAGCTGGGTTTCAGTTAGTCGCAGCTCAGAGTATCTGATTTCAGGAAACCAAACCACTCTCTCTTCATGTGTTTTCCTTCACTGGGAAACAAAGTTTCGTTGTCCAGAACAAAATTGACTCTGAGGGAATGAGGGTTTCCCGAAAGCAAGCTGCTAATCGGCCCCTCCCCTTCTCCACTAAAACACAGACCAAATAGCCTGAAGGCACAGAACAGACTAGCAACATAGGGCTGTGGACTAGTGAGCGGGGCCAGAGGCAGAACTGCCCAGTGCCTCCCAAGTCACTGATGCTTGCTGGACAGTCAGGTGTCATACTTTGCCCTGCAGAACTTCACATGTGTCTGCAAGGCTCAAGGCAGATTTTGCCAAATCCCAGAGCTGGGAAGATCCCGGAAGCTGGAACTGCTGAATTGAGTCACCATGCAGAACATATGCAGCACAGTGTTAACTGAAAAACCAGACCAACACTACCAGAAAAAAGGGTCAGGATGTGCATGGAAGGATGCAGAGACATGGGGATGGGGCTCACATCTGCGGGAGTCTCTGGAGCCTGCCTGAGAGCCACTATTCCCCTGGAAATCAGTTCCAGATAATCTCAGGATACTTCCTGAGGGGCACAGGGACCTCCTGGTCCCACCCCAACCCAGCCCAAACTGGCAGCTTCCTCCACAGACAGGACGAAGGATATCCCTTTCCAGCGCTCTCCTGGAGAGGTCCTCCGTGGGGGCAGCCTCCCTGCCAGCCGGGTTGGCAGGAAGACCTCCAGGAAACCCTTCCGAGATTGCTGGGAGCACTGTGCTAGGGGGTCCAGGACAACCTGTCACTGGCTACGCTGAGTGAGGAAACGGAGGCCTGGTTTCGGTGACTCTGAGGAATGTCAGACAGCAGGTGCTGCTTTATCCATATTCGCGGTTTTCCTCCTGGAAATTCTGCCTGGCTCCTCCTGTGTCTGCCTCTAGATTGGGGCACCCAGCACCACCAATAAGCCACCGTTTTAATTTTTTTTTTAATTTTTTAAAAAATGCTTACTTATTTTTGAAGGAGAGAGACAGATAGACAGAGCATGAGTGGGGCAGGGGCAGAGAGAAGCAGACACAGAATCCAAAGCAGGCTCCGGGTTCTGAGGTGTTAGCACAGAGCACGACGTGAGGCTCAAATTCACGAACTGCAAGATCATGACCTGAGCCAAAGTCAGACACTTAACCGACTAAGCCACTCAGGTGCCCCCAAGCCACTGCTTTTATTTCCACAGAACACACAGTGGGTGGCGCCTCTCTACGGAAAATTCAACCACCTGACTCCCCAACAGTGGAATGGGTGGAATGAGAGGATTTCGTGGTGCCGTCCCCTTACCCAGGGTGGCGAAACTGAGGTCTTGGATCCACACGAATCCTGCTGGCTGTTTTGCTTGGCACAGTTTGCTGCTATCTTCCTCCTGAGGCCCTCAGAGGCCCCAGTTTGCACAGCACAGGCTGGAACAGAAACCTCTCATTCATATGCCAGTCTCCCTGTATACATGATTGTCTCTTGTTTTCACAAGACCTTATATGATCAATTTTAGTCCCAAATTTGCAGATGAGGAAAACTGAGGCCCAGAGCAGTGAAACACACCTCAGTCTGAGCAGGAATTAAAGCCTGGCTCTCTGTGGCCCCAAAACTCACATGCTCTGCATTACATCACTTGCCCTTCCTGTCTGTCAAGTGAAGGGGCTGTTCTGGACACTCCTGTGTCTCTGTGGCCGCAGCTGGAGGAAAGGCACAGCTCTCAGGGTCAAGACCCAGGCCTAAGTCCCCCTTTGGACCAGAGCAGGGGAAGAGTCCCAGCCCCTAGGCCAGCTAGGAAGGTAGGAGGGTCTGCTTACTGTTCCAAATGCAGGGTCTTCATCAATGTCCCTGATCTGCAACCCCAGGCGAGTCAGCTGTCACTTCTCCAGTTGGGCCCCACTCAGTTCCCCTACTTCTGTTCTTCGAAAATGCCAACCAATCTAGTAAAACCTTGGCATTCAATTATTCAGCCCACAAGGTTTGGGCCACACAATTGCCTGTGTGGCCACTTTAGCTACATGAGTCCTTCTCACCACCTTCAGCTTTTCATTTCAGCGCGGTGCCCAGGCCTCACAAGTGCCTGGTCGTTAAGGAGGCTATGTAACTGGAATCTTCCTCTTCAGCAATTAACACCATGCTCTCACACCCCTAGCAGCATAATTGCACTCACATCCTGCCTGCCCCAAACTCGCTGCAATGGGGGGGGGGGGGGGCAGAAGAGGCAGGTCTCTCCCTAGGAGAGCTCCTTACTTGTTCAAGGTCCAAAAGGCAAGGATACCTTCAAGAAATTTTGCTTTGGGGGATGCAGAATGCCAGTGTGTGGCCTGGCGTACTCCCTTCCACCCAGCCCCCCTCCCCAAGGTTTCAATGGCTTTTAAGAAAGAGAAAAGGTTCAACCCCAACACCGAAGGGGCAGCAGCAACTTGTACCCGTCCCCATCAGTACACATCAGGAAGCTTTTTCCTGGAGCACCTGAGGATGGAGGGAGGCATGAGCTGAGCCAGGAGCTGACTCTCTACATGTGCCATGCTGGGGTTCCCAGTACCCAGCCGAACTCCCCACAGGTAGGAACTGAAACATCCTATTATAGGCAAGGGCAAAGGATCCAGCCAAACTCGGGTGTAGCACACATTTGGTTTAGGCTCAAAAGCACAGAAATCCGTATTTGTGGGGAGCAGAAAACTCTCAAAACATCTCCTTTCTCAGTAACACTTCACTGTGGCTGACCCACTACATCAAGGAAAGCTGGGGTTGGACAGAGAGCGACCGAGAAGAAAGCCCACATTCCACGCTACCTTGCTCTCATCACCTCGTTAGCTCCGGCTACAAACACTCCAATGTGCCCCCACACAGAAAACCTTTGGCCTATGGCTGCACCTGGCTGCACCTTTCCTGGCCCAGGAATAAACTTGGAGACCCTTAAAACAAAGAAAACACAACAAAACCCCCAACAACTAAAACTTGAAACAACAAATGTGAAATGGACAAACAGCAAGGAATGCAGGAAACAGGACCCCCAGCCCCTGCACTGAAGAACTTTCACCAGGGCGGACTGCCTGCACCCAAGAAAGCCTACAGGACTGGGCTCTTAGTCTCCTGACCCCAAGGAAGCCACAGAAACAAAACTCTCGAGGAAAAGGGCTGGGCACTAGAGCGGAGAGCTCTTTGCAGGCTGGCTGCAGGCTTCTTCTAAAGCCTTATGCCTCCAAGTGTGCTCCTCCCAGGATGGTGGCCACCTAGGGTGCTTGTTATAAATTCAGGTTCTCAGGCCCCACCCTGGACTCAGCAAAGCAGCATCTACATGTTAACAAGATGTACAGTGATCTCTGGGAGAAGCCCACTATAAGGCCTGGGTGGAAAGAGGCAGAGGCCTGACTCGCCTGAGTAGACTCCTCAGGGCCTCCAACCAGTCTGAAGCCTCTGGCCTTAAGGAGAAAAATCTCAATGTCTCCCACGGCTCCCTCATAATTGCTCCCCACACAGCAGGGCACAGGGCAGCTCCCCCTGCTCAGTCACCCGCCTGGTCAGGAAGGAGCATGGGTCTTCTGAGCCCATCTCAGTTCCTACTCTGCCAAACAGGGTCCCCAGTACCTAAACCAGGCAGTCCTCAGGGCTGCCCTGAGGACTCAAAGAGGAGTATGAAGAACCAGACAATAAATGTGGCTCCTGGCCTGCCCTTCAACCACTTGAGCAAACGCCCTCATTTCCAGGGAACACAGATAACCTGGTCCGGGTCATAGCTGAATCACCCGCACTGTGGAGGTCCTACTCAGACCCCCTCTCCTTGAGTTTCCCACCTCCAGAATCTGGGGACTCTAGGGTACGTGGCTGAGGGAGGAGGTACTCCAAACCACATGCTCAGTATGGTGTTTGTTACAGATACAAACAGAACACATTATAGAGCAGAATGCAAAATCCATATGAATTTTTAAGATAAAAGAGGGGACTTCAAAGCAACTTCCGGTTTGTTAGTGGGCTTCTTTGGGCTATATGGTCTGGGAGGGCAAGTGGGGAAGCAGCCACCTGTGTGAGCATTCCTTCGCCTCTGGGAGGCTTCAGTCAAAGGGTTTGAGGAGCACCACCTTCTCTGATTTCCCTGAAACTGAAGTGGCAGATGGCCTCACCCCCCCCCCCCCCCCCCCCCCCCCGCCCCCCGCAGGCTGCCACAGTGTTCCCAGCAGCCTCTGGAGTGCCCAATGCCATGTACCAACCAACAGGTTTTAGACTGAATCAAGTGATACCAGCAACCAGCCTTGAGGTTCCAACGAGGTCTTCAGGGGAACCCACGTTCTCTGAAGGCTGTATGAACTTGAAACAATTAGATCCCGAGAACAGAAACATGGACACAGTAAATTTCTCTTGTGGTTCACTGTCCCACCGAAATCCTAACCACAGATGCCAGGCATTCTGGGAGGGCCAGGGGAAGGATAAAAATGAAGCTAACAGGGCAGGAAAAGAGTTTTAAAAAACAAAACTAAAAGCTATGGTCTTTTCCTACATTACCCACAAAACAGCCAGGGCAAGGCCCACGTTTTCTGGACCTATGACCTCAACCACAGCCGCAGAGATTAGGAAATCAGAACCACCCATCAGAAGTGCTGGAATGAACAACTATGGGCATGAGTAACCAAAGCCCATGACATCAGCTAAAACCACCTGCTGGGACAGGCAGAGACAATGGCTCCTGGGGAAACTCACTAGGCCTCGGGCAGCCTGCAGGTAGGGGCTGGGGGTGTTAACTGGCAAATTTGGCAAAGATCAGGGTAAACAAGGACCTACATAAGAGGCACAAACCCTAAACTAGGCAACTGTTCCATAGGCTCTCTAGATGGACGACAGGAATTAGAGATAAGAAAGGCTCAGGGAGGTTTAGGAACTCGGCTGTGCGCACAAAGACAGCAAATTCCAGAGCCAGGATGGGATGCAGGTGCCCCGAACTCCACACCTCACTCTCTCCCCTGGGCCTCCGGTCATTCCATTCCAGGTTACCCACTTCAAAAAGAGCCACTGGCTGCCACACAGAAATGGCCAAGCTGACAACAATTACAAAACAGAGAGCCTCGTCAGGTGAAGTCCCACCCTGCTGCCCAGGGTCCATACGTCAGAGCAATAAACAAACACCAGCAGGGCTTCTCTATTCTTTCTCTTCTCTCCTCTGCCTGTCCTCCCTCTGGCTAAGGCACTGATGAGCAGGGAGCAAAGGAAAGTGTAGTGGACACCTGGGCTCCACTGAAACCCCAGGCAGCTGGGGGAGGATGGGGCTCTAGCATCAGGACCACTCCTGCTGGAAGGCTGGGGGACAAAGCCATAGTCATGACTTGCCCTGGCTGCTATCCTGACTCATGGCATGAGTCTAACGCTCGGAATGGATGGAAGCAGAAGCTGTTGTTTTGGGGGCCACACAGGCAGACGGGCACAATACACACCAGCTCGGGACCAACAGAGAAGCCTTTTTAGTGGTCCCCTCAAAGGAGAAGATGTGAAACAGCTGGGGCCAGAGCCTGGGAAATGTGCCAGGCAGGAGACCCAAGAATGGCTGCAAGTCCCACTGCCCAGCAAGAGCTCACGATATGGCCCAGGTGCTGGCCCCACACTGTGTGCATGCTAGGCAAGTATACCTGCCACAAGGCCCAAGGAGCTTATGGTCCAGCTGGCGGGGGTGGGCAGGGGAATCACAACAGACAACTGAACAAATAAACATAGACAAAGTTGAACCATGTGTAACTGCCATTTTGTGGGTCAAATTTGGTCAAAATTAATAATTTCATACAGTTCAACCTGATCAGAAGTTGTCTTACACATTATGAAGCCCAAGAGCAGTAATTAAAAATAAGAAAGAAGTCCGACCCATCCAGACAGGGTGGTTGGGGAGAGATGGGAGAGGTGACAGGACAGTTGCAGAGGAGAGGGACGGGGGAGCCAGCATGTAGAGCCAGCACACAGGCCAAAGCCTGCAGCCCATCTCCCTAAGATCCCTAAAATCAGCAGTAAACTGAGCACAGAAATCAGGAGGGTGCCAAGCCTCTGAGGCCTCAGCACTGTGGGCCACCAGAAGTCCCCTAACCATGTCTATATGACAGAGTCCACACCCATGAGGACAAAAGACGGTTTTGGGTGAAAGGGTAATAGCCTGACCACTCCATTGCCCTGGGTCTTCACTCTGCCCCATATCCTCCCACTCTGCCATGTGATCCACATGGGCCCTCCACAACTCTCAGACTGGGGTCAGCTGGCATGACCTGTTTTGGCCAATGGGGTGACAGCAAATCTGTAGTCAAGGACTGAAAAGTGCTCGTGCATTTCTGCTGGTGCCTCTGCTCTCCGCCATCACCATGAGAAGTGAATGTCCAGACTAGCTTGCTGGTCCCAGAAGGAGGATGAGAGGCACAAAGAGGAGAGATGAGTCACCCCAGTCACCCTGGCTGGAGCCGTCCTAGACCAGCCGACCCCCAGACATCACGGACAGCAGAGCCACCACCTGGCCAGCCACCCCAGATGACTGAGCAAAATCCACGCAGAAAGCTGTCTGCCACTGAGGCTTTGTGGTTGGTTGTTACACAGCAGGCCTATGGCAGTACATGCGAGAGACCGTACAGGAGGTACTCAATATCTGTCACGGGAGTAAACAAGTTCCAATTTCATTTCTAAAAAATTAAGGGTTTAATAATTTATCAACTGTGTAAACTACAGTACCTTCTATACAGGTTTTCTACAAAAACATATCTTGCGCTGTGAATCGACCGCTCCATCAATCGTACCGGTGATGTCTAAAAGAAAACAAAGTGATTCATTGACTCAGGTCAGGAGGGCTTGAAGGATGCTTGTTGCCC